CCCCCCCCCCCCCCCCCCCCCCCCCCCCCCCCCCCCCCCCCCCCCCCCCCCCCCCCCCCCCCCCCCCCCCCCCCCCCCCCCCCCCCCCCCCCCCCAACCTTAATAGTATGATATGTTCATTGTTGTCGGCATCTTCATTACAAAAAAAAGAGGAGGAAGAGAAAGAGAGAGAGAGAGAATGAGAGAAGGTCTCACGGGAAAAAAGTAAAAACATCGTTTTTCCGATGATTGACGATTATCGAAATAGAGAGAGAAACAGAGAAAAAGAGAAGGAAAGAGAAAAAAAGAGAAAATAATTGCTTTTGTTTAAGACTCCGTCTCCTTTTTAAAACTCACTCTATAGCCAAAAAAGGTACATACCTATTCGATTTGAGCCGAAAGAGACATTATCTTACATAAAGATTTTATTCTTGTCGCTACCGACACAATTAATTCAATTGATTTCTACTAGTTTATTTTCCTTTTGTTTGCATTGTAATATATCGAAATATTTTCAGATTGCCGAACAAATTAATAAGATATTATTTATCAGTGATTATGGTTAGACATATTGAAGGTACAATTGATTATGAAAAACGTAATGAAGTTCTCAATGATAATCATAAAATTCTTATTTATCTCGATGATATGACATTGACTGGTGAGGAAAACAAAGAAAACTAATCTACACATATATTTATATAAATTTCTCATTCATGTTAGATATTGCGTCACAAGATGGCTCTTATGTTCGTAAATTTCATACGATTTCAAAATTGATTTTAGAAAATCAAATTCGAACATTTCCAATAACGTTCGACATGGAATACGATGAAAAAGATGTAGAGAAATCATCAAACTATTCATTACGTGTACGTATTGTAGCTGATGGCAAAACACGATTTATAACCAGTTCAAGTGTTCCTGTGCTTACAAAAGGTTATGGCGATATGGTTGACATCATGGTTGAAAAAATTGATTTAATGTAATGAGAAAACAGTGGACGATACATGCTTTCCTTTTTTTTTGCTTTTGCGAAACGTTTAAATTTATTCTTCATGTCAACGTGTGGCGTAAAATAAATAATCAAATAAACATGATAATAGTTGTGATAGCCATGAAATAAAAATCTAAATAGATAGATGACTTAAGATAGATAAAGTTTTGTATTGATGATATGAACGACCGTTTGTTTGTGAGCGAGACTTCTTTTTTTTCACCTAAAAAACGTTAGTGTGAAGGTTTTTCAATTTTTATATCAATAATTTCTCATCCGGAAACAATAAACTCTATGAGTTACTAACACATCGAATACTACGATCAATATTTGTTTATGCACGAGAACAAGACAAACTATCGATTTTTATCATATACTCTATTTGTTGTTTACAACGCAAAAGAAAAATACACAGCAATAGTATTTTATAGGTAGAGATGTTTTTCCATCAGCAAACATTAAATAATCTAAAAACAAACGTTTACATAGCTCTTTCAAAAACTTTGAATTTTTATTTCGGTAATGACAATAAGCATTCAATACGAGGAATCAATTGATTAAAGTTATTTCAACTGAGAAAGGGCAAATTAATATTCGTTTGCGACTGAAGTTCGATCAATTCAATGCGCAGTTCACCTGACTGAAAAATAGCACGTCCAGCAGTACGCACTGCAACATCGATTGTGTGTGTGCCTGGTTTCAAATAGACAACCTCTGAATTCGATACACCTAAGTCGAGACTGACTGCACCCCAAAATACACTGCCAGCAAAGGCATCAACATGATACAAGCTAGAGGTACTGGGAGAAATTGCATTCCCCCGCTCAGGTGAATTTGGAATTAGTTTGTTTGAGCGAAGAATTTTATTGTCAATCATGATACGATGGAAAGTGTGATGACCAGCCACAGGAGTGTAGAGACTACCACGATAATCAATACGACAAAGTAGTGGTCGTTGATGATGGAATGCTATTGAAAGTTCAGGAATTTTGACAAATAAATCCCCAGTTGATGAAATATCCAAGGCACTATAATTCGGTTGAGTTTTGAAATAAAATTGATGAATTGGAGACTCATCATTCATATTTTGATTCTGTCGAAATTTATCAATGTAGATAATGTTTTGGGTAAAATTTTCGACCTTTTGTGCATAGCATTCGACATGAAATTTCTCAGCAAGTAATATGAATAGTATGAAAAGTAACATAGCGTCTCGCCAAAACATTACTTTTTTGTCCTTTTATACCATTTCGTTACGACGAATAAAAATATGATGACTCAAATCAATTCCTACTATCGATTACTTTTCGCTGAAATGGGTTTACTTTCAGGATTAAAGCAAATGAGATAAAGAGATTTCTAAATCAAACTGTCAACAATGTACTTGTGCTTCGATTATTTAAGAGACTCTCTACCAAGTTATTGTGCCTAATATATGGAGATCTAGGAAGTGGGTGTGGGTGTGGGTCGGTGTGGGTATGGGTGCGGAGGTGACCGTAGGACTACCTGTTATTCTGAAGTACACACTGAAACACACTCGGACGCACAGGCATGCCAACACCCACACCCTCTTGTAACAATTTGGAGGAATGAAGAAACCTGATTCATTCTTGTTGCAATTCTTCTATGAGAATAGCGAATGTTTTCTGTCACGCGGTCTAGGTGTGATTATAAATTCGCGCGAATAATGGTCAAACACACATCTGCATAATTCACAATTGCAAATATCTCGTTTTATGTTTAAGGGGGGGGGGTCGTGGATCATGGATTTTCGATTTTATAGTCTCATTCGATTGAGCACATTTTGTTGCATACATTATCCAAATTTTATGTTATTCTGATTCGTCTAGCGTCTGTTATAATCAGATCAAGGTCAAATGAATCAATAGAGAATTCTTCGCTCTATCGAACGCATTTTAAAAGAGCTTGAAAAACTGTTCTTTGTTTCTTATCTTACAGCGAATGCTTTGACTGAAACAGCACTTTTTTGCTCTCCAATCATTTTCAATTGGTTTTTCACGACCATAATGAACTTCAAGAATATTTGTTTATATTTCGTTTGATAGAGAATTTTAAGTGCTACAAAATGACATAAAAATATCAAAGAAAAAGCAAAACGCGTGTCATAATCAGCGTAAAAATATGAGTAGGACAACACAAATTTCAATGACTTTCATTTATCATCAATTTTCTCAGATCTTATAATTCTACTCAATCCACCTCAGTGGCAAGAATTATAAGTCATGATTGAAAAAAATCCTGATAAACTCATTCCGCTCATCCAATATCATATGAACTGGGATTAGAACACATAGTGAAAGAAAACTGACCTATAAAATTGCCGTTTCTGACACATCCCTTTTTTCCATATTTCTAAGAGGGAAATACAGGTAAAAAATCGAAAAAAGCTGACGATAAATGAAAGTCATTGAAATTTGTGTGGTCCTACTCATATTTTTACGCTGATTATGACACGCGTTTTGCTTTTTCTTTGATATTTTTATGTCATTTTGTAGCACTTAAAATTCTCTATCAAACGAAATATAAACAAATATTCTTGAAGTTCATTATGGTCGTGAAAAACCAATTGAAAATGATTGGAGAGCAAAAAAGTGCTGTTTCAGTCAAAGCATTCGCTGTAAGATAAGAAACAAAGAACAGTTTTTCAAGCTCTTTTAAAATGCGTTCGATAGAGCGAAGAATTCTCTATTGATTCATTTGACCTTGATCTGATTATAACAGACGCTAGACGAATCAGAATAACATAAAATTTGGAGAATGTATGCAACAAAATGTGCTCTATCGAATGAGACTATAAAATCGAAAATCCATGATACACGATCCCTCTCCCCCCTTAATTAAACTTCAGCTGCAATCGCTGCTGTAAAAGTTCTTTATTAAAAAAAAGATTAGTTCTCAGTTCAAAATGCGGATCAAGTACTTCGAATCAAAAATCTCATGCAACGAAGAGATGAGGTAAATCAAGAGTTTGGAAAGGTCTCCATAATGCCAAATAAGTGACTACCAAATAGAAAGTCACATAGGTAAACCCAGAAAACATTAAAAGAATAGCAAATGCCAGTTGTGCTTGCATTACGTGATATTTTGTTGTGAGATTAGTAGTACTATAGTAAGCCGAATATGTTGTCGTAGCAGCAGCAGTAGCACTGTAGCTTGAAACGTAGCTACCAACTATGCCAATCAGAACGAACGAGAATACAAGCATGACAGCTTGGGCGATAAAGACTCGAGTAGCCCAAACTCTCGATCGTTCCCATTTGATTACTAAAAATATGATTTCGATGAATTCAAATATATCAGCCCGCTCCTGAATAGTGATTCTCAGGATAAAACACTTACCTAACAGCACTGTTGAAATAGCGGCTGGAAAGAAAAAAATGCTACACCAGATACCAGCACCGGTAGCGCTATACGAGGAAAGACCCAGCGATGTTATTTCAAGGATGAAAATGAGCACTATCAAAACGATTTGAACAATGCCAAGAATCAGCACAGGCATTCCCAAAAATTTTGATCGCCAGCTGTTCTCAAGGTTAGACAGCGAATTTGAGTACTGATGTATATTTGGTTCAGTTTAAATATGAAAATATAGATACAAGATTTAAATTAAACCTACTCACCGATGAGTTCATTGTTGCAGGAGTTCTATGTAAAGTGTGGGGTGTCTTCAATGCATCAGTATTCTGAGGAGTGTTTCTTGTAGGCTGCACTCTTGATGTGGACTTAGCTGTTTGCCCTTGTGTTAGACTTGATAACAAATCAGGTGGAATAGGAACATAAGTCTTGCATGTTGGGCATTGAGCACAAGAAACGATGCCAGCTAAAACCAGTAAAATACTCATTGAGCTTAGAATGTTCTCTGGTAAAACATCAATTAAAAGCAAGAAATCTATTACATAAGATGCTCTTATATAGGGAATACTTCAAACTTAATTCTAAATCTCCAAAAAAACAAAAAAAACATTGATAGTAATCAATTAAATATCTATTGTATAATGGATATATAGAGTAGATTTGGATTTGTTTCAAAAACTTTTGTTAATTACATAGGGAGTAAAAAAACGTGATCGCTTAGCGATAGCAAAGCAAAACAATATGGCCACTTTAGTAACAAAAACATATAAACTCTAATGTAAACAATCTTCAACATCGCAGCACTTGAACGAGATGAATCATCATAGATGCATTAAAGTCCTCCATTTTTCTATTGATAATTTTGCTGAATGTTGCATTTATTAGAGGATTACAGCTATCTGACGAATTTTTTTTATAAAAATGATGAGTCGACTTATCGCTTCTCTTCAGAATTAGAAAGAGTATTTTTAACTGAGTTAGTCATAGGAAAATTCACTGTGTGAAAGCGTATGTTCTACATGAAGATTAAATGTTTTCTCTAGAAAAATATATGATTCGCGTTTTGTGCTGCATCGAGAGAATTTGCGTTATCTTGTAACTTTTTCTACGATACCGATTCACTGTACAACTACCAAAATATCACTTCGCAGAGAATCAAGGGGGAAACGGCAGATTCCCGGGATTCCGGATCCCATGGGAATCCCGGGAATCCCTGGAATCTCGTTGGAATCCCGGGAATCCCTGGAATCCCGTGGAAATCCGGTATACGTCCCAGAAATAACTAATGTAGACGTCTCAAAAACACTTAACATATAGCTTTTGCTCACACATATCAAAAGTCATTGCATTCATTTAGTATGTTAAAGCCCATTCCTCTAAAAAACTATGGTAGAGATACGAAAAATAAGTCATCTTTAAATGAGATATTAAACTCAGTTCACAATGTCGACTCAG